TTCTGTCACCAATGACATAATGCATCACGTGCCGCGCGATATGCATTCCAAAGGCAAAGGAAAATAATATTATTATTCGGTGCGCTTGCGCGATCTGCAATAAAACGCACATCTTTCCAGATCTTCTTCATTCGTCTCCTCGTTACCTCGTGGCAGGATGTGTCTTTCGAGATTCCGTTTTGCTTGGCGCAGCCCTGCTGCCTCTTGGGTTACCTGAGATCTCTTTCATTGTCCCATGAGAATGGGATACTTTGGATTGAAGTTTTCTCAAATTCGCTCGCCAAGCTGGCAAAGAAGCTGTGAACTCTTCTGTTCCGATTACTGTATCTGGTGAGTAAAACAATGTCGATGAAAGTAGAAAATTATTCTGTTTACTAGAAGAAGCTGCTTTGTCATCTTAACGATTTTTGTATTGTTCTATCTTGCTTTCAGAAGCCAACACTGCCTGAAGTACTTCACGCCAGCTGATCTCGCTCGCTCTCCGAACTTAGCCGATTGTTCCTGGCCACGTGGTAAGTAATCTAATCTTTTTCTTACTTCTCCAGTGTTCACAGCTGGCTACATTTATTGAGGAACGAAATGATGCCACTATAACCCCAGCTCGCTTAGAGTGATTTACTCGCGATGAAGAGAATTTTGTTTCTCACGTATTTTGTCTGATCTCGTTCGTTCCGATGGAATATTGGGTCGGTGGTCGTCCATTTTCTTGCATGCAATTTATTGTTTTTTCTCTCTTTTCACTTTGATTCACAGGTACCCACACCATCCTGGAGATCGGTGATGTCGATTGCGCTAAGAATGTAAACGGTAAGCTTTCTTATCTGTTCCCCTACCTTTTTTGTGCTTGACCTATGATGATAAACACACAGACCTGTTCTGATCTCTTTGAGGATACTTTTATAGCTCTCCTGAGGTTTTCTAGATGAGACAAAGCTGCCTTGTTTTGTAGTTTCCTCCTCCAACCGTTTCTTTCTACCGATTTTCTCTGTTCAGGCTGGGAATAAATACTGTCAGCAAGCCTTGCACAATTGACAACGAGGTAGGTCTACGACAGTATTCTGAACCTTCATCTTTTCGACGGTATTTTGATGACCCAATAACCCCAGCTCGCTTAGAGTGATTTACTTCGCGATGAAGAGACTGTTGTTTCTCACGTATTTTTGTCTGATCTCACCGTCCTCAACGTATCATTGTGTTTCGCTTTTTCATCTGCATTTCGTAATCGAGCTGTACTCTTTGATTTTCCTCCCAGGGCTCCGCCGCCATGTTTTTCTTCTCTGGGTCGGATTCTCTTCGCACGTGACCTGGTAAGTCCTTTTTACCACTCTTTTTTGTACTCTTCGCACGTGACCTGTTCTCTTTCTTCATCTTTGTGCCTGACCTATGATGATAAACACACAGACCTGTTCTGATCTCTTTGAGGATACTTTTATAGTTCTCCTGAGGTTTTCTGGATGAGACCCGGCTGTCTCGTTTTGTCGTTTCCTCCTCTGATAACCGTTTTTTCTACCAATTTTCTCTGTTCAGGTTTGGATAAATACTGTCAGCAAGCCTTGCACAATTGACATCGAGGTAGGTCTACGGCAGTATTCTGATTCTGTATTCTTTTTACGGTATTTTGATGACCCAATAACCCCAGCTCGCTTAGAGTGATTTACTCGCGATGAAGAGACTGTTGTTTCTCACGTATTTTTGTCTGATCTCACCGTCCTCAAGTACCATTGTGTTCCGCTCTTTCATCTGCATTCTGTAACCTAGTTTACTCTTTTGGCTTTTCCTCCCAGGGCTCCCCGCGATGTTTTTGTCCGCATCGGATTCTCTTCGCGCGGGACCGGGTACGTCTTTTTCACCATCCACTTTTATGTACTTCTGCTTTGCCCTGATGATGCTATTCCCATATTCGCAGTTTCCACCAGAGGGCCTCCTGATGATGGCTAATCTTCCTTGGATGTCTGAGCATTCCTCTGCTTGTATGGTGTTATGTTTGTATGCCATGCCCGTCCTCAATTTCTCTGCTGTCTTTTTTCTTCCTTTTCAACTGCTTTAGGTGAGGGTGGTCTTTCAACGTCAACCTGACCTTGCCAAATGCTTCCAGATTTTGCTGGTGAGAGCCTTCTCCTTTGCTTTGGTCTTTTGTGTATGATGTGCAATGATGATGCTATTCCCATATTCGCAGTTTCCGCCAGAGGGCTTCCTGATGATGGCTAATTCTTCCTTGGATGTCTGAGCACTTTCTTAGTTTCTTCATTCTTGAATTTTCGATATACATTTTTCTAATTAGTGCTGTGCGTGTTACTTCTACAGGTCTCCTGCACTTGGTGACAGTGTCTGGGCGCATTATCTCTTCAAGAGGTCAGTTTTCTCTTCCTCTACCGTTGCTGCTGGACTTTGTTGGATGGATGATAACTTCTTTCCCCGTCTTAATGTTTGTGCTGATTAAAGTGCTGTAAATGCTGATTCAGCTGCTGACCAACGCCCCCTGATTTTCTGTTTTTGGCTACACTCCTTCCTTTTCTAATTGCTTTCCCTTTTTCCTTTTGTCCAGGTGTCAATCTCATCCTCGGAGTCTCATTTTCGGCATTCTTCATTCATATGTGCCCTTTTCTTCCTTTGTTTGGCTTGCCTCCTCAAATGTTATGTATTTTCACATATTTCCTGCACGATATTGTCGCAGTTACAAACTACCATTGGATTCAGTTTATGGCTCCTGTGAAAACCCAGAAACAATGACTGAGCAGTTTGTGAACTTACCACACTGCGACAATTGGCTATCCGGGGTTAATTTTCATGTTGACGCCAACCTTATCATCAGTGCCCAGCGCATATGAGTAGTCTGTTGAAGATGTGTGTGCTGGCAGCTTTGGGCGTTTGTGCCTTCTGTTAAATCTTCATACTTTTGCACTCCAAAGTGTCCTCAGCCCTTCAAGCTTGTACATATACCCTGTGGGACTACCCTATTCAAAATTTCATAATCTGTGGTGAGCACATCAAACTACTGTATGTCCCCTGTAGCCAGTTTACTAGCCACTCGGGTCTTCTTTTCGGCAGCCGTCTTTCTGACTTTCTCTCTCTGTCCCGAGTAGTCGAGTCTCGCACAGCGAATAATCCAATATACAACGTTGAGCAAGGACAGTTTTGTGCTACTCCCTGGTTCAACTCGAGTGACATGATGAACAGGCTGTAAGTGAGCACGTGACCGCTTATTCATCCGTGTTCGATTGGGGGAGGGCCCTATGTATATGCTGCATCGCAGCCTTTTGCTTTTGTTGAGTTTTGGACCAAACCAGTCGACTCGGCGGCCAAAAGACAACATGGACCAATCGCAGTCACCTACCCGCGCTTTTATAAGAACGAAACGGCGTTTTAGTGACTTTCCCGATACAAATCCCTCTAGTAGGGCGCAGTCACCCGGTTTCGGTGGAAGTGCGCGAGTTGTGTTGGGAATAAAGGAGGAAGGCTCGGACCAAGACCATTCGTCATGATTCGACTCAGCACACCGAAGACTATTTGTAGGGAGAGCCACTGAGATAAACTTCGAAGTACTGCCCGTACAATGCTCCAGTGAGATCCTGATAATTAGTACCAGGGAGTAGTACAATGATAGTGTACTACTTCCTGATTCGTACAACCAATTCCTCTCTCTAACACTTTGATCACCAAAACATGCCTTCAACATCAGTTACTACATGATGTAGTATGACTGTGTCATAAATGTTCACATTATCACAGATTCACACATTGTGAACTGCATAGACAGTGATTTGGTGCAGTCAAGCTGAAGTGACGAGTTGGAACAGTCCATCCTCAAGCGTTCGATCGAGACTTACACTGATTTTTGCGATCTTTTTCTTGAGAACGATTCTCACCCTGAAATGACTTTCGGCGACTGACGTGAAAGAACACTCATGACACCCACCTCGTCGAATGGAGCATGCATTGTTTGTGGTGTATGAGTGCAGGAAGGTGGTATGTTCGCGAGGTGCATATCGAAAATGATCCGAAAGACTTTGTGATGGTGCCATTCGGCGGAGAACATTTGAATTTTTCGTACGATTCAGAGCAGTCGGCGAAAACGAGCCAGTAACCTGAAAGGAGGGCGTGAACAGGTGTAATTTTCGACAATGTGGTTGCCCTCGACCCTGCTCTCGGACATTCGAGTAATGGTTATGGCAAAATCGATGGTGCTCCAGGTTTTTCAGACGCATTTCTTGACCATACTCAATTCCGTAGATAAACCTGTGCACAGAAAGCACACAAGAGTTCAAACTAACTCCACTGTATTCAGTTCACGTGTTTTCCACAGATCCAAAACCCTCCTGGGACCAGGAAAGTGGACAATACGCTGGAGTATAGACGTGCACACTGCGAACACGCCCACGCGCCACTCCTGCACACCCGTGTCGGACATCACATACTGGCCATGTCACGGTGCCGCAGACGTAATGGGCGTGCCCCACACGCTTGCGTTACACACGTTTAGATCCTACATGCACACGTGGAGCACAAACATGTCAAACATGCGTGCCGCGGATGCACACACATTGTTCGTACATGCCGGATACACTTCGCATACATCACATGTGTGTGCGCGCACGTGCCACACCGTCGGAGGAATACAAACGAGCACGGATACGCACATATGAGAGTACCTCACCAACAAAGCCTAGCCAGGTTCGCACTCGGTTTCCCTATCAACAATAATTTCTGGCTAGAACAGTGCAGTAGCAATAGCCGAAACAGAGAGAACGCAACACGGGCGGCCGAGCAAGTGACATACAGCATAAACAAGACAAACGTACTTTGTACATTCACACACAGTCAACTTCTCTAATAACCACTGCGTATATAACGACAATTCACAAATACGACAGAATTTCCATGCCCAGAGCAAAGTGACACACAACATAAACAAGACAAACGTACGTTGTACATTCACACACTTTTAAAAGTTTGTATACATGTATGTGATTGTATTGATATGCTTTGGTTTTCTTTCCTCAAACTCAGAGTCAAAGGAGAAGTGACGCGTGCATCATAGACCGTTGAAGTTCGTGTGAATGCATCAGACGCACACATGTACAGGACACTTTGCATTTTTCAAACTGAAACAGTATACATAAGCATGCGTGCGCGCGTGTGTGTGTGTGTGTGTGTGTGTGTGTGTGTGTGTGTGTGTGTGTGTGTTTGTTTGTGTGCGGGGGTGGGGGGGGGTGGGGGTACGTGTACGTGTGAAGAGCAAAAACCAGTACTGATAAATTGATAATGCAGGCCAAGCAGAGAGGAACGCAAAGCAGACAATCACCTCTACATTGTAATCTCCTACAAATAACACATACATATACATGTACATTGTGTAGCTTCATAAGCAGAAAACGAGATATTGTGAGCGCGACAGACTCACACACACACACACACACACACACACACGCGCGCGCGCGCACACACGCGCACACACACAACCCCCCCCCCCCCCCCCCACAGACTAGGGTCCGGCGGATTCTGCCGGCAGAAAATTGGCAGAATTCGGTACTTTTTCTGGTAAGTTTTATGCATGTTTGGTATGTGGATAAAGAAATGGAGCAGAATTCGAGGAATTGCCCGCCATAAGCTTTGTATGGTTCTGCCAATTTCACTGCTTTTCGAGCAGAATCTGCCACCTTTTCGAGCAGAATCCACCGGTTCCTACCACAGACACACACCACGAGACCATAAATCTGAAACGGCATGCATTTTGACACACACACGCACACATGCACACACGCACACACACACACACACACACACACACACACACACACACACAGTCACACACACAGTCACACACACAACACACACACACACACACACACACCACGAGACCATACATCTGAAACGGCATGCGTTTCGACAGGCTTTAGAAGGCCACGAGTTAGGTGATCCACATCAAGGCAATACGCACCACCAGCCCAGCTACATGTACCGATATCTCATACTAGACAGCAACTGAACGCGGCACACATACTACACACAAGAGCGCGTACAGCGGCAACTTTCTCCTTATGCTTACGGTTGTCAAATACAGCATTGACGACACACCGAGACACACAGAGGAACACAAACTAGGGTCTACAATGTACATGTATACACAGCTATGCGTTTGCGTGTTTTCATGCTCCCTTCAAAGGTTTATGTATACGGCATGTATGATTTATGTTGCTTGAGTACGCCCACTTTGAAGGTCGAAGTTGGATTATACAGGGCGTGAACAGGTGAGATTTTTATGTCTAGCTGTTAATTACCCTTACCTTAGCCCACCAAGGAAATCGGAATAATCAAACTCGATGGTGCTCCAACTTCATTTCGACGTAGAAAATTCGCTGTTTGAACATCTCAATTTCAAAGGGTAACCACTGATTTCGATGTGAAAAACGTTTCCTGATCGCCATAAAAAAATTCCTGCCGACACACACCATAACAAGCTCCAAGTTCACAAACAGTGGCCACAAACGGTTGCTCGTCATGAAGGTGGTTCGACACTTTCGACCAAATTCGTTCACTTCCGTATTCAGTTGACAATTATTTTTTGCCGTCATCAAGACTTATTTGGGCCCAAAAGCGCAAAAATCAGTGTAAGTCTCGATTAGTGGCAGAGATATGTTTTTTGCACGCTTGAGGATGGACTGGAAGAAAGCCATAAGCTATGCGCCGAATCGCGTTTTTCCAAGGGGACAGCATGATACATAGCTTGATTCGAATCGAGTTACCGAATTACCAGAATTCCATCTATACCGGTGCAGTCTCATCCGTTTCATTCTAACGCCAATTACCTGTCCCTCCAGGAATCCGCGGACAAAAAGTTGAAATTCTGCGGCACAAATCGCTACATTAGTGAGCTCATGAGGTTCTGCCACACGGTAAAACGTGCCAAAGTACGTATGGAAACTTCACCGTGGTACGGGATTTAGTTTGATACGGATTTTGTCATACCGTTTTCCGTGTGAAGCGCGCTTCACACGGACCGGACTCCGTGTGAAAAGTGAGCGTACAGAGTACATGTGGCGGGGTGTTCGTGCATGCTTCGAGCATGCTACGTACAGCAGAACCGGTTGCAACGTACGAAAAATCCGTGTCAAACTTCACTGCAGTTGACACGGAGTTTGGTACGTAGTTCCGTGTAGCAGAACCTCTCTATTGGCGGATAGCGTGAATTCTGCGGCGCTGCACCGGCGAAAAGACATGGCTATATGCTATGATTGTACAAGTATAAAGCACACTCCCTCGACTTTGAATGCAACAAAATAGCGACACGACACTGCACTGTGCATGAATATGAAGCGCGCGCTCGCATTGCCCCCAAACCGTGATTTTTCACGATTCTGCGGTGAAAACTGTGAATTCCGCGGAATCGTGGATTCCTGGAGGGACAGAATTACAGCAGACTTTGCCTACGCCCGTGAACTCACAAATGCACACTGCCACGACATGTGTTTAAAAAAGACTTTGAACAAGACACGATATGACAGAAATGCAATCTTTATTGCAACTAATGGCAACCGTGTGCCTGAGCCTAATGTGAATGTGTTGGGACGCGTGTAAAACATTCTTCGAAATGATTGGTGGCGACAAGCAGCGCCATGATAGAGATAGGGTCTGATAAGTAGGAAAACATAAAATTGCCGTTGTTCTATGTACACACAGCACTGAATCCCTCAGCGTCGTGTAGATACAATGTATATTGTTGGCATGTACGGATATATATATATACATGTACACATATAGGACAATATGAACTGTTTCATAGCTATAATAATTATGTATAAAATATTGAGAGTTTCTCTCTCTCTCTCTCTCTCTCTCTCTCTCTCTCTCTCTCTCTCTCTCTCTCTCTCTCTCTCTCTCTCTCTCTCTCTCTCTCTCTCTCTCTCTCCTATGCCTAGACCCTAATTCCTAAACTGTGCGCTGATCTGCTAGTTCCGACGGGAAAACTCTGCCGCTTCGTGCCCAGTGCCACGGGGGAGTGCGGGGTAGTGCTAGCTGGGGTGGTGGGAAATGGCAGGCCCCGGCGCGAGTAGCTTCCGCTCATTTCGCTGAGACTGTACAGGGTGTTGCCGGTGGGGCTGGTGGACGCCAGTGTTCTCCATGGCGAGGTCGACGGCGGCGTTCGCAGTCGCTTGTCCTCGTCGTCGTCGCCATTGTCTTCCTCTTTGGTGACCGGCATGAAGGTAGGCATTGGTGCGGACGACGGCCGGTGGACCAACGGCATTGCTGGTAGTGACCGTTTGGCGAGTATGCCACTACTCCTGTAACGACACAAGCGTCGGAATCGACGTGCAGAGCACATGGTGTTTAGCTGGGCCATTCCATGCCGTGGGACACAGGAGAGCGCATCATTATAGATACCGGCAGAGTACATGACATCATGAAATTTCATGATGTCATGTAATGTGTGTTCAAAGAACAGGATTCTAGCCAGGTGAAAATAGTGGGGGGGGGGACATGGGAAACAGTTACCCCTATCCCATTTTTCCACTTTCCAATATTGTCTTGCCACGCTAAATGCACTGTATGGGGTGAATCCCCGACTTCGCCCCAGACAAATGTGCCTTTATGAACTACATGTATCTAATACTAATAGTGATTTTCGACTGCATTTTCGTTGAATTGCATGAAAAACGCGAAAAATCGGAAAATGAGCAGGGGGTGGCACTTTTTCACAGGGGGCGCGCAAACAGTGTAAACAGGAAGTCCCCCCCCCCCCTTTGGCTAGAACCCTGCAGAGCCCGTTCGTGGTAAAAAAATTGATTTTTGTATGAAGTTGTAGCAGTTTTTAGGTGGCAGAGATCACGTTTGGCAAGTAGATATAGACAATCCGGCGACATACCACCTCGAAGCTAACGGGAATACTGTACAAGTCAACTCAGAAGGAGGGTGCTGCAATGGTTCTTGCTGCATGCTGTTATCTTGCTGGCGGACCAAACAGAAAGACCTATTTGTTGCGCATGTTTGGGAATTTTTTATTTTTTAATACATTGCCGTGCTGTGCGGTGTGTGACACAGGCCATGAGGCTGCAAGGTATTTCTGGTCACCGCCAGTCCCTGAACCCTAACCAGCCGCAAGAGCAAACTGTAGTCAACTCCCCGTCCCCATGAAAGATTTTGAGTCGAGCACAATAAAATATGGACGGTGTGGACATAGGTACCTTGGTCGGAGATACAATTGGTTGCGCAATGGAAAAAAAGGTAGCCGGATTCGCGGCCGCATCACCTGACGTGTTTAGGAACACATCAAGCAAATACATTCATATCGGCGGGCCACCACTTCACCCATATATCCTCAGTGTCAAATGCATACCTCACAAGTGAGTCAGGGGAGAGGGGATAAGTCTCTCAACAAGCGGGCGTGTACAGGCCCTACAACCCCATAAACCGCATCCCTGGTACCCTCACACCGAGCAAGTGAGTACCCAGTTCACCGCGGGCGTCGGCACAGTTCATTGCATGTAAAGTGGTACTCGCTCGCATTACCGCGATTGAGAGAGTGCTACAGTCCATTCATTGGAAACTGGCACCCTAACTTTTTGGTGTCTCTCTCTCACATAGTTGTAGATATCGTGAAAACAACAGTACATCCTGCATTGTGTGACCCGTGCAATTACTCCTTGCCACATTTGAGGCCAGAAAAGTCCAAGAACAGGGAAATAGAAATTCAGCCAGGTTTTACAAAATTAGGACAGGTATGCCATGGCAAAATGTATGGAGAAGCAGATCCAAAACCCAGATTTTTGAGATTTAAAGTGGGTTTTTGATCCTCAATGGCACGTATGCATAATTTTCGCGCGGATTTTTGCTGCGGGGCATCTTCTGCATCTGCTGCAGGCCAGTGCAATGCAGGTGCAGAGAGCTAGAGCTAGAGGTAGAGAGTAGTCAGTAATGCTGTTGCAGATTTTGTTTCTCGTCCCTTGCTGTTGTCTGGCTGTACTTGTAGTGTTGAGCAGCCTAGGCTAGATAATAGTTATGTCCTTCCCACTGGTGGAAGTTGTCTCAAGCAGTCTCGTCTTGTCGCCGTTCGCCGTTTTCTTCTAAAAAAAGTTTTAAAAAAATAAAATGCCTGGACATTGCCATTGCATTGTTCCTGGTTGCTCCAACAGGAAGAATACTTGTAAGTTCGGACTGTTTCCTTCCAACCCTGATGATGGAAAAGTAGTATACCAGAAGCAGAGGCTTTGTGGATCGACTGCGGATAGGATAGGTTGCGGCGGAAGTGATCCAGCTTGCAAAAACTTGTCGTTTCATCGCCTCCCTCCTGACACTGACAAACGAAGCGAATGTCGCCGTCAGTGGCTGGCAAAAATCCCAAGAACCAATGTACCTCTTTCAGCCAACTCCTATGTCTGTGCCGTCCATTTCGCTGGAGGACGTCGCTCCAGTGCTGACGAAGCTCCAACTGTATTCGTTTCCCGTGCTGTCGTGAAGGAAAGGCAAACTAGGACAGCTCTTGGATTGGTGGCGCCTGTCAGTCAGGAAGTTTTAGAGCCTGAGACTGAGGATTGTGAGAGTGATGTTCAAAGTGCTGATATGACAGTTGAGCACGACTATGGGAAAGTGCTGATGGACAAACGTGTGGAAGATCTGGAGAAAGAAGTTAAACGCCTTACCTGCAAACTAGACAACTGCACGTATGATCTGGCGCAGACGAAGACGCTACTGGAGAAATGCCAGTTGAGTTACGGCACAATGCGGCAGGATCCTGCTAAACTCTTGTTTTACACTGGTTTGACAGTGGCTGGCTACGATGCTTTACTCAACCTGATGATGGATAACATGGCTGGGATGAGCTATAAGTGGGATGTGGATGAGGATTTCCTTGGCAAAGATCAGCGCGGTCGGCCACGCACACTGTCCATGGAGAACGAGCTTCTCCTCACTGTTATCAAGCTGCGACACAATTTTCCAGAGTCCGACCTTGGCAATCGCTTTGGAATAACGCAGTCATCAGTATCTCGTATCTTTGCCGCAGTTCTGAAGTGCATGTACTTCACTTTCCAGGAGTTGGACATTTGGCCATGTACGGAGCTGGTTGATCGGTTCATGCCCTCTGAGTTCCGGAAGAAGTTCCCCCGTACAAGGGTTGTTATCGACGCAACGGAATTTCCCATTGAGAAGCCCGCTAACCCCAAGGTTCAGGCTACGACTTGGTCCAACTATAAGAACAAGAATACTCTCAAACTGCTCGTCGGCGTTACCCCAAATGGCTCCATTTCATTTCTATCATCTCTATGGGGTGGCCGTATTTCCGACAAGGAGATTACCAAGCGCAGTGGCATTCTTGATAAGCTGGAGAAAGGGGATGCCATAATGGCTGACCGGGGATTTGACATTGCGTCCCTACTTCCTGATGGTGTCGAGCTGAATATTCCCCCGTTCTTGGGAACACGGGATCAACTTGAACCTGAGGAAGTCGTTGCTACAAGACGGATTGCGACGTTGCGCATCCATGTCGAACGTGCCATCGAGCGCATCAAGAACTACACAATCACGCACTTCATTCCGTCGTCTCTCATGTCTCTGGCCGAGCCTATCATCACTGTGTGCGCTTTCCTCACACTTTTCATGGAGCCGCTAGTTCCGCCGCCGGTTCAGGAGCAGGACCAACTCACCAGCAGCGTAACTCCACCACCTGCGCCCAGTTGTGTTCCAACATCATCGTCTAGCACCGACGGAACAGCTCAGCCATCGGTGGATGACACTGACCGCCATGGATCTGCAGATGTCCAAGAAGTGATGCTCACGCAAACGGCTGTGTCGCCCTCCACAACAGTAGTTCAAGAAGGCAAGACGAGTGAAGAGAAACCACCGGAACCTGATGCCAGCATCTCACATAGTGTCAGTGCTAGTACTACCAATGTCGAAAATGTGTGTTTCTCCTGTGGCGTGGGAGATCAGCGAGTCCTCAGGGTATGTAAAGGTTGCCATCGCCGCTACCACCATATGTGTCAAAATGATGACGATGAGACTGGACATTTCTGTAACAGGTGCTTCGCCTCCGGTGGATAACTGACTGTTTTTCAGCATGTCAGATTTCATTTTCTTTGTGTGTATGTGTGTATGTATGTAAGTATGTGTGTGTGCCCGTGTGCACATGTGCATGCACTCTGTGTGTGGGTGTGCATTCGCTGTTGGTCATGCTCAACAGTTAAAAAAAAAGTATGTAGTGTTAACTCATTACTGGTACGTGAAAACCCAGTGCAGCACCGTGTACCGTGTATCTATCATTCTTTTTCTTCTTTTTTTCATCGTTCCTACAGTAAATTTAATTACCCATTCCGGACTGGGGTTACATGGCTGCTAATTATCTTAGTTTATTTCACCTGTTGAATATTCAGCCAATATTGGATATTGGTAAGTGACCCAGTGCAGCACCTTGTATCATGCATCTATTACTTGTGTGTTTTCATCGTTTATACAGTTCGCGCGTTTGTCCGTGCCGGACTGAACGCAGATTGCTGGTATGGTTGTGCTTTCTTTCTGTTTTTGTCGCACTGTCTTCCGCTGATTTTTTTTGTGTGACACCCTTTACTGCATTCATGTAGGTGTGACTATGCTGGTAACTGGCCTCTGACCTAAGGCAAATTTATACAGAGCTCGTGATGATTCTAGACTAAATTTTTTTTACTCTACCTGCATTGTAATGCTGAAAACAACTTTCCCCGAAGGTGTCAGCTTTCATTTTGTTCTTGTTGTGTGCGTGCATATGTATGGTATTGCGGTACATGTGTTGGTATGTATTGGTTTGATATTTGGCTTATGAGCAGCCTGCTATTGCTTCACGCATCAGTACACAGATTCTTTTCCATTGCTACTACAGTTCAAGGTCATCATTGTGCCGGAGTAAAGACAGATTGCCGCTTTCATGGTTATGACTTGATGGGTGTCTGAGCTTGTTGGGTCGTTCCCTTATGTGACACCAAGAGTACATATCCCACAAGAGTGTACAACTGGGCTAGTTTCGATAGCACTCCATCAAAGCACCTGTTTTGATGTCATTGAAGATCATGAATCCACGTTACTGGGGTTCTGTACTCTTGGTGACACCTATCCAATACGTTCATATATTATGTGCGCGTGGCGTGCCGGCATAGCGCAGTGGTAACTGAGCTCACACACAAAATGCCACCACATTTCTACAAAGCTATCGATAATTTTGGAGCAATGTGTGAAATGGGTACCCTTTTGCGTTGACGGTATTATTGATAGCTGTGTAGTATTTTGTCCTGTAAAGAATGACTTGGAGCCAGACATACTTCACATTCGTTCTGTGTTGTGAAGGTAGTGAAATAGCCAGTACACATACCAACATTGAACTGAGCTTGGCATGTGGAAAATAGTGACTACATTCAAGCTTCCAAGTGATGGAGAACAAAGAAATGACCACCGTGATGCCAAGAAAAAAGACCAAAGTGATAAACTGTACACCATAGTGACGTGCATAACAGAATGTGTCTACCGGTATATCTGGACATAAGTATACCCTCACTACTAAGCGCATATGCATATATCGGGATATAAGCACACTCTTGCTTCTGGTAAGAGAATGTATTTGTACCCACACCACTTACAACCATGAACATTCCTACAGCATTGCGCTACATCCACACGTTGCCCAATAGCACACACTTACATGTACATGTACAGGCGCACACAAAGAAGAGAAAACGAACCTATTTCTTTGTGTGGACAGAAGGGTCCAATGACCTATGATAACAACTTGTGGACAGAAGGGTCTAACCACCTATAAATTATAAACATGGAAAAAAAGAACTCAGGCAGTATAACTGCAACTGGGCCGAATCATTCAGTATGGCACTTGCTCACAGCATCATGACATGGCAGCTTTCGGCAATACATGCTGAAAATAGAAAGCTCTCAGTGTGGCAAGGTTGCAACGAATAAACTCATCCCTTGCGATACGATCAATCTTTGTCCCACCAGTGCGTGACCATACAATGAAATCACAAGAAGATAAACCAGTGACAAAGAGCTGCATTTGCACTTGGTAATAGTATGCATGCTTGCGCTTCAATGTGTAGTGTGAGCCATCATACTGCAAACAAAAGTTCTTAACTGACCTCACAGCTTCGTCAAACGACATGTTGCGTGCGGAATACGGACACTTGATCTCTAGAACCACTTGTGTCTTGCCATCATCTGCAATACCGTCTGGACTAGCTCCAAACCAAGGCTCCTCCGGATTGACGATCAGGCCACACTTCGACACGTGCACGACGTCGCCAGACTTCCCGCGTTCCTCTACATAGGCCTCCCTGGCCACATCCTCATTCGCGATTCCCCAATCCGTTGCAGCTGATGAGAAGAACGGCCGGTCCGTGATGGCACTAACAAGCCTCGCGGGATCAGTCGAACTTCTTCGGCGAGCAACAGTCTTTGCTATAGAAGCTGTGATCCGCAACTTGCGTTGCCTCATCCAGAGGTCACTTCCATGCTGATCCGATGTTCTGACATGAAGTTCGTGTGCCTGCTCAGGTGTTACAACTACATTGTCTTGGTACCAATGCCATTGCTTGTGGTTGTCATCCATCCACTCAGTGTCTGATGGAACAGGCGTGGTGTCATCAGTGGTGTCAGCATCCATCCACTCACAATCGGATGGAAGAGGGGTGGCATCATCGTCGGTCACAGTGGTGTCACAGTTCCCATCTAAGAACACATCACAGTCGCAGGTCGTTGACAGATCGTCTGGAAGATCGGATTCCTCAGCATAGACTGCAACGTCATTACGTAAATCCAGCCACGGTGCCTGTTGGTCCCTCTGCCGTTGCCACCTCCTCTCGCGGTCGATATCCGTCATAGCAGTGCTGCCACAGACCAAAGAAAGCCCAAACAGAGGTGCACTGCCGTGGAATGACTGATATGCCAATTCGCTAACACTGTCCCGTACAAGACCACGCTTGCTTGATGATCGAGGGTCTTGTAGCTCCGCTGCTGTGTGCTTTCGCTTCCGCTTAGCCTGGTCGGACTTAGGCGCAGGTCTCAAGCCGTCCATCTCCTTCACCGTCATCGGCTCACTTTTCTTGTTACTGGGTTGATTCCAAGTCTGAAGGACATCAGTGCATGTTGGACTGTCAATGTAGCCACACCTTGTGAAATGCTCCAGGGCATACATGAGAGCTGCCAAGTGCTTACAGCTGGCTTGGGGGCCTTTACCAGCAGGACACGAGCAATCAGCAAAGCTAATCTCAGCTACGTTGCCACTGTCACCTATTCTCACGCACATCCTCAGCTTGTAGTCGCTCCTTGACTTCATTTCAGGCATGCAGCGTGCTCTGTAACAGACGACGTTGTTCAACTTGTGCAGCTCAATTTTCTGCACATATCCACTGGTGAAAAGACGACGAGACTTCTGGTCAGTTGAAGCAATAGCTTTAAAGTTTCTGTTGGTTCCATCTCCGCACGGTGTCTCCGTTTGAACAAAATACGCTATCAAGTGAGACTGGGTGAAAGCAGCGGATTGCGATCGACCTGACACCAACGATTTCCAGCCAGACACAGGAAATGCCAGTGGTTCTGGGGAATCCAGGGACGAGCTCGATGGACTTCCTGATGTGAGTGCAGTGCCGCCTTCCGGAACATGGCTCTCCAATCTGCAACACGAACATAGTAGGCAAGACACGCATCGATGTTGAAAACCAAAAGAGTTCCTCACAGTATTACAACAAGAAATACTTCGAACTTACCTCGTCAGTAAATCTTGCTTTTTCCCCGACTTCTTCAACCCCAGCCGCTCACACTCAGCCTTCAAAAGATTCACAGTCCACTTCGAGTAGTCGACAGCATCAGCAGATGAAGCCATCACCGAAATCTCTAAGAAACTCCGGGCCACTTCCTCCCACAAAAGAAACTACTTCGACATGAGAATGCAAGCGCACTGTACAATAGCACTTGCACTTTTCACTTTTTTTCAAACACTTTTCAAAAGATGCCCCGCAGCCGGATTTGGACGCGCCGCCGCCATGTTTTATGCATACGTGCCATTCGGCCCAAATCCGACTTTCAAAAGCCAGCGGGCCAGTTTCCGATGAATGGACTGTAAACACTCCCTGTTTAATACCAGCGCAGGTTTAAACTCGGAACGTCATGATTCGCTGGCAAGCCTACAAACCAATCGGCTATACGCGTTGGTGTAATGGAAGATGCTCTTTTAAAAGAATATTATGTTGAATCCCAGATGGAAGCACTATTCTGGCAAATCTAGTTGTAACTTCTACAAATTAGAAGTATTGAGTCTGGGAGATCGAAGTAGTGTAGATTGCAGAAAATTGGTACCAAAAATTAGTGTTGAAACTAGTGATGTGCACGGGTAGTCGGGTACCCGTGCTACCTGTGAGGACCTCGGGTAGACAGGTACAGAATAGTACCTGAAGTCCCATATGACATCATGTACAGTGCACGTGTACAAATTCATGTAATACTCCGCATGTCTACCCAGTGTATAAGGGAAGGGGTGCATTGCGGTGTTACCATGGAAACATTACCAGATCGGGTACCCGTGCACCCTTGGAAAACTACCCGAACCCGATACCCGAAGAAAAGGCTACCCGACTCAGCCCTAGTTGAAACGATCTCACCGAGTCGTTAGTTCGCTCGCCAAAAACCCGGCTCGTTTGTGCGGCCAGCTCGTTTGCACTAACAAACACTGTACTCCGTACACATGGCAGTACATGTCGACCAGGGAGTCGTAAAATATTTTACGAGTTCCTGGTCGATCGAGTCTAGTCTCACGCAAAGTGAAAATCTCTCGCAGTTACAGGACTGTATGCCTGCTCATCACTGAGTTGTTTCAGTTGTCATTGCAGCTTTGGTGGACCCCACTGATGTCTTGTTCCGCATCTGCTGACCCGTCGCAGGACATGCTTCTGTCAACTCTCCATTCGAGTGAAAGTTACGCTCAGCTCAGTCGTTTGGAAGTTTTCTCCCGCGATGCAGCGAAGAACAGGGCTACTTGCAGTCTTTGCCTCGACGTTGCTGAAAAGGTATCTTGACACGAAACAGCAATCCGAAGTGACGCAGCAGCAACCAGACCATAAGTCTATCATTCATAGTATACCTCCTTGGCCCACACAGTCCATGTCGATTCCGAGACCGAAATGGTCGGAGGAGTGCACTGCGCCTGACCAGCACAGCTCTTGTAGCACCTACTACTCCTTTGTTGTCTTTGTCTCTTTTATTACCCTATTACTTTGTAGGGATGTGCACATAGTACAAAAAAAACAAAAACAAAAAAAAACCCAAATGCCGACAGTGATAATTTGAACCAGCTGACTTGAAAAAAATCGACTTAGAAAAAATATTCAAAAAATCCATATTTGCCACGTCCATGAGACTCGTGAGCTCGCTCGATAGCTTGCTCGTTAGTGGACGTGTTCGCTCGTTTGTTATAGATACGCTCGTTTCAACGCTACCGAAAGTACAGTCAATGCAGGCACGTATGCTCAACAACAGTGCATGCAAATGGCAAGCTAGGTCACATCACATACCTCGAGGAGTCAGGAATTAGTGTACCTTGGCCAGGCACGGACGCTTTCCGTACTCGCCGCCGTCGCAAGTCCAGTCTCTTCATATCTAGCTCACTTTCTGACATATCATCACTGTTTCTCTTCTTTTCCTGATATTCTGCCGCCAGGAGGTAGTACGTGGTTGCAACATAATCATAGGAATTCGACTCTAAGGAGCTGATAGATGGACACACAAGCACACCAGGACCAAAGGCCACAATTACATCGAAGGGCCGTAAAAAAAGTACTAAAATATGCACGTTGTAGCCAATGTGCTGCAAATGAACTCGGATGAAGAGCCAAGGATAAATTGATAGAAAAGAAAAAGGACCACGGAACTACAAAAAATGCTACAATGTCCACTACACATGTCCCCTCCTATGTTATCATAAAACTTAGAACCTTCCAAGTTGGAAGGCTGTTGGAGTGCACATCCAAGGCGTGCCAGAGCTGATAGCCAGTTAGTTGTAGAACGTTAGTACCGTCAGTCAGTGTCGTGCAATGTTGTTGCATGAGCTGATTTTTTAGTAACTGGTGGGGTTAGTGGACATTATAGCGTAACTTTTAGTTCCTGGGTCCTTTTTCTTTGCTGTAAATGACTTCCAAGTTTACGATAACTCACACCCGTTCGACCTTTGGTCAGTGTACAAGTTTGGGGTACAGCTTTCTGTATGAACTCTCTTCACTTACAGCCGAATGTCACTTATCCGACCACTTCGGGAATCAGGCATGTTGGACAACTGGATATGTTGGATAACTGATATCATTTTTTATGTGCATATATGGCTGGATTTCACTGATTTATGTACACAATACCCCAATATATTCATGCATATTCATGAATTGCTCCATGTACACATACATGTTAGCATACTTGACCACATCTACTTCAAGTAAACGCATATTACACCGTATAATATACAATATACGGTGCACTCTAGCGAGATTTATACAGTAGGGTTCGACAGCGATGGTATCACATGGTTCGGTAGTAAAAAATAGCAGTTGTTAACCACTCCCGCATTCACTCTCCTGTATTTAACTTTGTGCCCCATCCATAGCTAATTATATGGTCAATAGATGGTCGCCACCCCCCCCCCCCCCCCCGAGCCCTACATGGGTCATGTGTCGGGAAGGAACCGCTTCTCTCGGTCCGCAGGGCCCAGCACTTTCAAATCCCGTACAGCACACAAATGGAGCAGTTGCCAGCAACTGTCCATGCATTACTCTGATGGACCCACCTGTCAATTTGTTCCTTGTCCCCGATACCTCGGGCAATCATGCCTTGGATGATTTTCGTCCGGTCCTCGCCTGTGATGATGTGCATTTCGTCAGAGCATGTGGATAGACTGTGCTCTCTCTTGGCATTTTGAGTCATCCACGGGTGGCACAGCACGTCTTCCAATGAAATCCGTTCCTTGGGATCAGATACCAGCAGCTTCTGCACCAAGCTGCATGCGAGCAAATCACAAGATTTTTAAATAAGTCACGTTTCAAATAAAGCACTGAACACAATGGCAAACAAGGCTAGGGTTGTGGTAACGTGTGTGTGTGTGTGTGTGTGTGTGTGTGTGTGTGTGTGTGTGCGCGTGTGTGCCACCTAGTTCGGTTGGTAGGTACACTTATGCCTGATTGTGTTGGGTCTGTTGCCAACAGGCTCGGCTGCTTGAAGGTGTAATGTTGTACCTGCCACCTTTGTTGGTTCCAGGGTTCATATACTTTCTATTTGAAGTATAGTATACATACCTGTTAGCCATGGACTGCTTCTGGCTAGATTAACTCTTGTGTAATCAATGGTGCTAGTGAAGCTTTTATCAGATCCACTCTGATTTAGCCACTCACACTAGTAGCAAGTATTACCTTCACTGGGGGCAGGGGTAACGGCAGTTGGATCCCTGGACGAATACCCTGATGCCGTCTATCCTTTTTCTGCACCCTGTCCTCACCCACTAACTGAGGTGTGGTGAGCCCATAAGTGGGATCATTTTCAAGTCCACCCAGAGTTTTGGGGATTTCAGGGGGTGTCGGCCGTTGGGCGGTTCAATAACCAATTGAGTCATCTTTCCAAGATTCCTTTTGAGTCTCTCTCCCCTCTCCCGGGGGACTCACGTGACCAGTTTTTGGCAGTGAGCAACAAGTACAAGTGTGCGTGTGTGTGTGATCCTGGCAGCCTAATCGGCAGGGCGGCACTGTCCCAGCAAGACGAGTACTGGATTCGAATCCCGCCCTTGGATACTTCTTTTCCAAAATGATAAATCGGGACCATCCACTAAGGTAGCGGTAGATTTTTCTTGTGACCAGATGACACAACATCTAACGCTACTATTGATTGACGGACCTGATATTTGGGACCTTTCGCATTTGCTACGAATCGAATGCGAAACGAAAGTTTGATTCGTCTCGTAATCGTTTCGTTGAAAACAGAATTCAGGTTTCGCAAGTCGTAAAGCAAATGTGCATGGCAACTACGAATACGGTCGGTAGCTTGGCGTATGGGTGTGTTCGCTCACACGTGCATGGATCATGGAATCAAGGAAAAAAATGTGTACCTGGCAAAACATGTGTACCTTGCAAAAAAATGTGTACCTGACGGATTCGGAGCGTGCCACGAATGAAGAGGCTTCCATTCGTGAAAACGAGCTCTCCGCGGGGACTCTGACGAATCCTCGAACCCAGGTGACGAATCAGCATTCGTTTCGTATCCGTACGCGTGGTGCGAAAGGTCCCTAATGAACGGCATCAACAAACCATCCACTACTGCTATGGTCACCATTTATCGCAACGTACAGACGTTAGATATGTCCGGTCCCCACCGGCCCACCCCTCCCGCTTGCTACCTAGCGTCCTAAAGACAGACAAACCGACTCGGACTGTACTACAAGTACAAGCAGCATGTCTCAGTTGGTACAGATTATTCTTACTCGACGCTTTCCCGCGATAGTTCGGATGGCATGTCGAACTTGCAGTCCATTATCATGGTCAACGTCTCACTGTCCGTTCCACCGACGAAGGGCTTTTCGCCAACGAGCAACATGTACAGAATCACGCCGAGGCTCCAGCGGTCTGGAGCAAAAACCAACAACAGAATAGACAGCACATTTCCGTTTTATGTAGTCTTCCTCGTCCAGCTGAGAGAAAGTCATAACACCATCGGAGCGGAGGGAGTCCAGCTAATTGTTACTTACCGACTGCCGGAGCATCGTAAGTGTCGCCCAATAGAATCTCGGGGGCCGAGTATGACAACGAACCGCACGAAGTTTTCAGCTTTGCTCCAGGGTCAAATAAGTTCGAAAGACCGAAATCAGTCAGCTTCACCTTGCTGGCATTCTGACAGAAGACCACATTCTCTGGTTTCAAATCTCGGTGAACCACATGTAACTTATGGCAGTAGAACACGGCTTCGGCGATCTGACGAAACAGATCGCGGCTTTCGTCTTCGCCCACGCCGTCCGGATGGTTGGCAATGTAATCATAGAGATCTCCATTTTCACCTAATTCCAACACTAGATAAAGCTTGGTGGGTGTATCGAACACCTGGTACAACCTGATTATGTTGGGGTGCTCAACCCGCTTCATGCAGCTAACCTCCCGGAAGAGGTGCTCGCGAGCTCTGGCGTCGAGCTTCGTCTTGTCTATAACTTTCACTGCAACCTTAGCACCGGTGGTGTCGTGGTAGGCCAGCTTCACTATTCCGAAGTGACCTGAGCCTAGGGTGTCCTCTAGGCTGTAGCCCTCGAGCGCAGCGGCAGCCATGGTCGCCCTCCAGCAGATCGCAGGAGAAGCATTGGGCCGAGAGCAGGAAGCCTTGCCGACGGAAGTCGAAAGGGCCACGAACGCCACATGCACACGGTCTGGTGGGAGGAAGAAAGTTGTTGTTCTTTATCATTTCCTCGTCGATCCAAGCTGGCATTATCCTCCTGTTATGGATGAACGATCCATATGGAAGAGAGCAAATCTGAAATAATTGGACTCATCCGGCGAAGGCAGGCCATAGGAGGACAGGTGCTGGTTGCGGAGCCGTGCGTATTAGCGCACGCACCAATATGCACTAGGTCATGCCCCTGCGTGCGGCCGTGCGTACTCCAATGCAATGGGTACAACTACAAGTTGCAAAAAGATGCAAAACCAGGGAGTCGTAAAATATTTTACGACTCCCTGTGCAAAACACAATGACTATGTGGACAAGCCTACCATATACTGTAAATCAACTAATTTTCGCTAGCGATTTAATTTCGCTGATTTCGCCGCTGGGTACCAACCAGGGAGTAGTAAAATAAAAATAAAAAAATGTATTTTACTACTCCCTGGTACCAACCGGCCAAAGTAAATCGCTGGTCAAAGTTTGTCATGATGCATGGATGCATGTGAGAGCACCAACTACTGATCGATTTCTTTTTTGAAAACCCTAATCGGCCAAGTTAAATGACGGCCAAAAGTTTCATTTCGAGATCGGCCAAAGTTTCTCACCGGCCAAAATTTGTTGATTTACAGGTGCATGCACGTAGGCTTGTCCACATATATGCACATTGTGTTTTGCAACTTGGGGGTAAAAATGCATCCCCGGGAAAAATTGGAACTTGGGGTATATTTTGCCCTTTTCCATGCCCAAAGACAAAGTAGGAACTCACTTCGGAGTGACCATGCAGATTACAGTAGAAACAAGTGTGCTACATACCATCAAGAGTACGTACTCTTGATACCATGTAAAAATCCTGGCGTGAGATGCAGCCCAATGAAATGTATCGAAGCTTCACTGTACATGCAGGTTGACTCCCGGAATCTTACAAAAGTCATCAAGCAATGTTGCCATTACCTTGCGGCACTAAATCAGCAAGTCTGCACACATGTGCCCAGTCTATTCCGGAGAGAGATTTTCGCTGGCCACACATCCTTAGCATTGCTGTCCCTCCAGAAACTTGCGGAGACATTTCGGAAATATCGCGGAAAAAGTTGCGAGGTAAAATGCCACAAATTGCGGGGAATATTGCGGATTTTGTCAAATATTGCGGGATTATTGTGGTAAAATTGCGGAAATTGCGGCCGATTTTGGTACTTGTACTGTAGTGGTGTACGATGTACGAGTCGTACAGCATAAATCCTGCATGACAAAGCAGAACGTACGTGTGCTGCGCTGACTGTGTTCAACTGCAAGACAGCTTTCCTCCATCCTCGGACAACACTCGACGCGAGCCTTATTTCGTGACTTGTCAGCCGCTGATTTGCCCAGAAACTTCGATATTCTGGTGTCGATCTCACAAGTAAACTACTGACGAGCTTGAAGAACTAAAGAACATCGAAGAAAGACCCCAATATCGCGGTGGCTTTTCGAAATATCGCGGTGCTTTTCAAGTATCAAGGACAGTTTTCTACAATAACGCGGATGATTTTTCAAATATCGCGGATATCACGGACTTTTGTTCAAATCGCGGAAAACAACGCGGCCGCGGAATCGCAAGTTCCTGGAGGGACAGGCATTGTTGGGCCATGCTCATACAAGAGAGTGATACGTGAAGAGCAAGTCCTCTCTGACATGATCTGATTTCAGATGTGCAGCTTTACTTCACAGTAACAAAAACATTCACCACTCATCCAAGACGCTGGAAAAAGTAAGCTGTGGTAAACGGTTGTGGACACCTGCATCAACAAAGTGCCAAAAATAATTACTAACAAAAATTATTACACTACAGCGCGGATGGAAAGCAAAAGAGCAAATGAAGCGCTGTTGCAATCAGCAACCAAAATCCTTTGTACAGAACTAATAAATGCATCGTCGGATGCAGAAATAACTCGAGGCAGCGGGGAAGTGAAACTGTACAACCATGGTCGATGCCATACCGCAGTGCTGCCAGCGCAAAAAAGCAAGGGATAGCACTTCGCACTCGGATCAAGTAAGAATTTAGAACATAAACGTGACCACAGTTCAATCCCTGGGCCAGGCGCTACACGATCTACATATATGGTGCTGGCCACCATGAGATAGTCCAAAGCCCAGATGGCACTTCAAATGACAATAGCCGTGCACACCATGGAAGCTGGCAAGCGGCAAGAACTAAAAAATATATATAATAAAAAGAGCAATTCTCACCAGCAAAAAAAGCTAGTCTAAGGGCTATTTACTTGCCCTTGGTGGACAGAATGAGAGCAACGATAAGACCATAAAGACCTAAGACTTCAGCAAAGATAAGGATGAGGATCATACCGACAAAGAGACGGGGCTGCTGGGCAGTACCACGCACGCCAGAGTCGCCGACGATGCCGATGGCGAAACCGGCAGCAAGACCACTGAGTCCGACGCTGAGTCCGGCTCCCAAGTCAGTGAAGCTCCTGCAAGTGTGCACAGATGAACAAAAAAATATTGAACCGATCTCAGCACCCCCGGGGCAAAACATGCATCATGTAGCATGGGACTACCATGTAGTATTCTACCACTATCAGCACTTCGAAACTGAATGCCCAAGAAATACTACTGCTTTTTACTAGTTACCCTGATCTCCCCAAGCACTGCACTACAGTAGCTATACACTGGTGGATATGTGCCTGTGCCAAACTCCTGACCAGGACGACAGGAGTACTACTCTGGTCCGTCTGGAGCAAGTGACTGCAAGTACTAGGTGCATGTCAACAGTGCCAGGGCCTTTGCCATGTTACGTAACAGGTCCCAAACAGATCTCCACTGCAACCATGAGCGTTCAGTGCTCAACCGAGCATGGCGCTCAGCCATAGATCCAAGCTGAAGCATGCACACCATGAGCCCAGGCAACCGTGACAACCGCCGATCCACTCCAAGGCAGTTGCGGCATAACTCAACTGAACAGATATAACTGCAGTATGAACACTTCCAACTGGGTTTGGCGAAACAACGCCTGTGATTATTCCAATAGGCTCAGCACATCCATCCACACAGGTAAGATCCAGAACTCACTTGAACAGGGAGTAGTCAGTGGCAGACACTGTACAAAAACAAGAGAAAAAGAAACAGCGAACAATATAATTTAGCAAAATTCTCAGTGGTATTCATGTTCAAATCAAAAACGAATTTCAACTTACGTCCGTTACCGATGAGCACAGCCACGACAAGGCCATAGATAGCAATGATACCAGCCATGACAACGGGAATGATAGACTTCATGATCAACTCGGGACGCATCACACTCATGGCAGCGATACCAGTTCCACTCTTAGCAGTGCCGTAGGCAGCACCGAGAGCTGAAACAACACACAAAAAAGTAGGAAGGATACAACCTCAAGGACTGGAGACTTCAGAGGTGCGATCCTCCAAATCAGCTCACCGCTGAACACCATGGCAGAGGTGGCTCCCATGACGCCGAAAAATCCTGCATATGAAGGTGTCTCAGACATGATTGCAGATTGGTGAAAGGACAGCTCTCAGAAACAGCTACACAAGCAAACTACAGAAGGAGAAGATCAACGGGAACTGCTGCAGTGCTGTGCAACCAATCGAGCTGCATCGCTCATCACGCATGCGCACTGAGAGCTGCTGTCACGCGCTCTCCGATCCGTGCGTAATCAACCAGCACGCGCAGCGGGGCGCAATCCGCTACCGCGACCGCGTCGACCGGATCACGGATGACATGTTCGACGCGACGCCGTGCCCGGGCGCGCGGGCCGGGCCGCGGGGCCGGGGTGGATTCCGGTGGAAACTGGAAAGCCATTGTCGTCACGTGACGTCAGTCGTCGACCTGCAAGAAAGATGTCATTTCCGACTCAGCTGTCACTCAGTGCCATTTGTGGTAGTACTACTACTAGTAGTAGTAGTAGTAGTAGTAGTAGTAGTAGTAGTAGAATTTATTATTTTGATAGGGAAGGCCCTACAGACGTTGCCGTCTTGTTACAGGGAACCCTAAGTGCTCTTTACAGAGCGAAACAAAAACGGATAGATGCTCAACCTGACGACACGAGACAGGCAGAGAATTCCACCTATCAGCGCCAAGGAAAGAAATGGAGAACATGCCATATCTAGTGGTAGCAGCGGGCAAAGAAAGTGAAGAGAATGATTGCCCTCTAGTGCGCCTCTCGGTGCAAGTAGCAGCCGACTGGAGGGTGAACATTGAGGAAAGAAGAGGACTTGTAAGCTGATGAACTTGATACAGCGGAAAACAAAAATAAAAGCCTCAAGTTGAGACGAGATTCGAGGGAGTATAACTTAGCGTGCCGCAAAACAAAGACAGTCGGGGTACGGCGAGGGAGACCAAAAACCTGTTTCATGCTGATATGACTTTTAAAGTAACAAGGCGAGAGTACAAAGATGGTGTAAGACAGTGAGCATACGAGTTGCTGGCGTATTCAATAGTGGATTGGATGAGGGATAAATAAAATATTCGCTTAGTTGTGTGGTCTACCGTACGGCGGCAGCGGCGGAATGCTCCTATCTTCTTAGGGCCGATTCCCACTACGGTACCGTGAGTGCCGTGCCGACGATTTGGGTAGGTCACGTGTACCCCACGGTACGAGCTTGAAGCTGAGAGTGATTTACACCTGCGCCCAATCATTCCGTGCATTCCGTCGGCAGGCCGGATCACCATTTTTATCAATTTCTGACTTTGGTCCTGAGGGAAAATAGCGGGGGAGATGACTGGAGAAAGCTCAAGAATCAACCAATCGAAAAGCCAAAAGCCAAGAAAAAACTTCGTACCACAAATACAAAAGAAAGAAAAAACTTCCTTTCAGGGAGTAGTAAAATACCTACTACTCACTGCATTCGACCTCACGGAATACCACGGCATGCCATTTCCACCCCCCAGAGACCCTCGGCACCGGAATGTCCACGGCGCGGTACGGCAGGCCAGCAGGAGCCACGGAATGAACTCGCGCCAAAACTGCCCCTCACGTGAGCAAATCACCATGGGTACTCACGGCACGGCACTCACGGTACCGTAGTGGGAATCGGCCCTTATAAACAGATGTACATACATGTACATGGTTGACTTGATCCTCAAAGGTGAGGTGTTGGTCAATAATGAGGCCAAGATAACGCGCTGTGGCAGAAGGTCGAATATCGACACCACCGCATGCAATGGTAAGATCCGGCGGAAGAGGCAGAGCCTTCTTCCGAAGCACCATGAACTTCGTTTTCTGGGCATTCAAGATGAGACCAATGCTTCCAAGGTACGTATTTAGTCTGTTCAACTCACTTGTCAACTTGTGCTGAAGTTCTCCAGTAGACTGACAGTGTATATAAAAGGCGATATCGTCAGCATACTGTTGGGACTCTGCGTGGCGAAGTACTCCAGGGACATGTCGCACGTACAAAGAGAATAACAGAGGCCCTAGCACCGACCCTTGCGGAACGCCTCGTGTAAAATGTGTCTCGTCTCCTCTGTTATTTCCAATTTTCACCTGTTGTCGTCGACCCTGGAGATAGCTGGAGAACCACTGTAGTGCTACTCCGCTTATGCCAATAGCTTGAAGCTCGTTAAAGGGGAAGTTAAGGCAAAAATTAAAATTTCACCAGTTGTAGTCTTCGGGGTGCTGAGTCGAATGGTCGTGGTCCGAGGAAGCTGAGACGCTCCCTTCCTACTTGAATCCCAATCGAACTCGCGCACTTCCACCGAAACTGGGTGACTGCGCCCTACGAGATGGGGATTTGTATGCAAAATGTCACTAAAAGCGCCATTTCGTTCTTATAAAAGCACGGATGACCGCGATTGGCCCATATGTTGTAGTCTTTTGGACGCTGAGTCGACTGGTTTTGGTCCGAAAAGGCTGCGATGCAGCGTTCCTCCTTTATTCCCAATCGAACATGGTTGAACAAGTGGTCACGTGCTCCTGGGTGCCCAAATCACCTGGTCACCACGCCAGCAGGTGACAACTTTCACACCAAGGTTCAACTCGAGTTCAACTCGAGTGACAGGACTGCACCCAAAAAAGGTCAAACAGGCTAGTAAGTTGTACCCTGCAGGCACGGTGACCAGGTGACTGGCGTACGCAGGAGCACGTGACCGCTTGTTCAATCATGTTCGATTGGGAATAAAGGCGGAACGCTGCATCGCAGCCTTTTCGGACCAAAACCAGTCGACTCAGCGTCCAAAAGACTACAACATATGGGCCAATCGCGGTCATCCGTGCTTTTATAAGAACGAAATGGCGCTTTTAGTGACATTTTGCATACAAATCCCCATCTCGTAGGGCGCAGTCACCCAGTTTCGGTGGAAGTGCGCGAGTTCGATTGGGATTCAAGTAGGAAGGGAGCGTCTCAGCTTCCTCGGACCACGACCATTCGACTCAGCACCCCGAAGACTACAACTGGTGAAATTTTAATTTTTGCCTTAACTTCCCCTTTAAGGGGGTTCGGGACAGTTAGGCCCAAAATTTAAATTTCAACATCAGCCCAATCTGACATCAGGTTTGAATAGGTACAGCCTTATATTTTCGCTTAGTAACATCAGTTTTTCAATTGCCCGAATAGGTCTTGCCAAAAACACAATTTTCCTTGATGACACAAAATAACACAAAATCCCAAAATTGATGAGAAATCGTCCATAACATCAGTTAGGACAGAAAATATGACCTAAAATTTTACAGACTGTTCGAGGTATTGACTAAGATGATATCAACACCGAAAAATGTACACTTTGGTTGACGATGGGATCCAGGTCGTCATTTCCTGGAGAAGAACAAAAAGACGCAAAAAATGAAACTTTGAATATTTTTTGCAGCTTATTTTTGAGTTTGCCCCATATGTGGATACTTCAAATACGTTCTATAAGTGGGTTGGAACAGGTTTACCGCGGCGAAAATAGGGGTCACCGTGCATATTCTGGAGAAAAATCCAAAAAACTGTCAAAATTTGCCTAAAATTGGTAAATTCACGTATCTATATTGCTTGTACTTCTCTGCTGCTGCTTTGGTCATAACTTATTGGATTTTTGGCTGTTAGGTGTTGCATAAACTCACTAGAGCCCTCGGCGTTCAGAACAATACAAGGATGGAATAGCTGAACTAGTAAATTTGCCGGAAAACCCTGGGTGCACGCATTATCGATAGGTACTTTTCTCCATGATTACTCTCCTGTTGGTACTTGGTTGTGATACATGTACATGTAGCTGTGATAGCGCTTAGCACAGCCCCATATCAAACTACAATGAAAGCTGACATGTTGGAACGAATCAGACATCATTGAGTCCTCTTGTTCTTCAACTATGCGAGCTAGAACGTGTCCCAACACTGGCAAAAATGATGGTATTTTACGGTGCGCACAAACAAGTGAAGCACTGTGCCACAGGGCGTTCCTTACAGTTGGGTTGCTGCTGGTTCTTCGCTAGGTGTTCAGCCACCGCTAATATAATCTTCCTTGAGACTGTCACTCGCTTCTTACCTCCGACTTGCCCCTTCATCAGTCTGGAAATGGCTGGCTCACCATTTCGTTTGTAGGACAAGACAAAGTGCTTCATCACCAACCCACTGGCAGCTGCCCGCACTGCAACTGATTTAGAGAAGCACGTTGCTTGGACCAACGGTTGAAGGGTGGCCAGCCGCTTTTGCTGAGGTTCTGCAAACTCCATCGCCGAACATGCTGATGCAAAAGTGACAGAGTTCTACAGGATACTGGCATCAGGGCGAGCTTCGACAATTTCAGCTAGGGCCGCAACATCCGCAACAGCATCATGAGCAGCGAATTCATTCCCAACGATGAACTATAAATCAATCTGAGGCTGTAGCTTGGGAGCTCCGGTATCGCGGTTTAGGGATCAGAGTGTTCACCCAGCACAAAAATGCACACCATCGACACACACACATCCGTGCACACATACACACACACACACACACACACAAACACACGCACACACCCACACATGCATGCTCTCACACGCAATAGAACACACGCGCGCATACACACACATACATTCACGCACGTGTGCGTACCCACCCACATGCATGTGCACACTCATGTGCATGAGTGGAGATGCCCGCATACACATGTCACACCAGCATGCCCTGGGAGCGGTCATGCACGTGTGTATAGTATGTGTGCGAGGGCACGTCCACATGAGCGCATATGCATGTGCATGCTCATACATGCGTATGGTGCACACATGCACAAACATGCAGGTCTATGCAAACACACACACACTCGCGGCCGCCGCGCATACAGTGTGCTCATACATTTCCATAGCCATAGGGTGGCAATGACTCGCAAATATCATGAAAAAATCTTATGAGATTGAAAAACGCACTTACCCAAAGCAGCTTTGGTGTTGCTTGTGGAAGCATGGGGGCCAGGGTGTTGAGCAGTTACAGGGCTATCTGTATCTATAAAATTCTCCATCCAACACTGCTGACACGGAATGACAAGTACGCTGCCCAGGTCGTACCTCTTCTCTTCAACGCAATCAATGAGCGCCAGAGGTTTGCCACATCCAGGATTCTGGCACGCAGACAATCACACAGCCAGATACCTGAGATGAACGATTCGTCGACCGTGAAGAGGGGC